CAAACGGTAAAGCGGCACTACTTTTCGCGACCATTCTCGTGGGGAACGCGAAACACAACTGCCGAACAGAATATGCAGGCGTTTTTCTAAAACAGTTGAACGTTCTTGACGCGGCGACGAGCCGTGCTATTGCGAACGTTTCTGGAAAAATACTACACAACTGAATATCTACGACACGATATTACCGATGTATTGTTATGGGTGTAGTATTTTTCCAGAAATATTGCCCACAAACAATCTTCTCGCGTCGCTTTCCGACATTAATGTAACGGCCGCGCCACTATTTATTTCGAATCGCATTCGTTTGTTATTTACATTAAGCGTAACGTATATTTTATCGCGAAATTGCGTATGTTCCTGTACTGAAAGTATTTCGCTCGTCGTTTCCCTGTAATCTACTGTATTCGTTGGGAATGATTTCGCTTTGCAAACTTTTTTAATATGCCCTGCTTACCCGCACTTTAAGCATTTGATTGATCTATCCATCTTACACGCGGACGAGTAATGATCTTTACCGCATCTATAGCAAACGACCAAATGACTATCGCGCCTCGGTTCGTGCCTATCTTCACGCTCGCTATTCGCGCCATTTTTCGGAAATTTCCCGCGTTCAAATTTCTTTGTATTGAATGACTTATCTTTAACAAAAAGCACCTTCCTCGTTGCTGCTCCAACGGCTGCGACTGTTTCTTCTCCTCGAAGCTGCTTCGTGCTCCTCTCGGACAACTCTATCGTGGTTGCAATTTGTATTGTCTTTTCCAGGTCCTGATCCGCCATTTCTAGAAGCCTATTCTGGATCCTCTTGTTTCGTAGGCCACATATGAAGCAATTTTGTAACATTGTGTCTGCATACTGTCCCAATTTGCAATTTAGCGACAGCTTCTATAAGGCAACTAGAAAATCTCGTGCTGATTCTCCTTCCTACTGCTTCCTTTGCATTAATTTGTAATTTTCCACAACTACCAGTGGTTTTGGTTCGTAAAATTCTTTTAATTTTTCCTTGATTTCCTTGTATGTCAGCTCGTACGGGTCCGCCGGTGCGAGTCGGTCTGCAAGCACGTTAAACGTCTTGGCACCTAAGTAATGTAGCATGTATGGTACCTTGTCTTCTTCTTGAATTTTGAAAATTCTGAATGCTCCCTCAAGCCTT